CACTCCGCCTTAGAGTCATTATCTCAGCCTCAACTGCCAGCCAAATGCACACAGAGTCTAAGTTTGAGCTACAGAATTCAATCAAACTCTGGAAAGTTTCAAACAGATTTACCACTGTGTATTAACTCCTGTTCCGCTAGCAGCATAGAAGTGGTCTGAAGTACTAGCAGTTAGAAAGTTCTATCTCCGAAGGCCACTGATCAAGCTGGCTGGTAAGAGTGATTCACAATCGCATCCTGCTTCAGATTTCCTCAACGTGCTTTGCAGAGTGCACATCACTTATGGCTTCAGCTTTGCCCTGTGCTGTATGTGGACTGTCTTACTCAGTGCTTTTGCAGATGAAATAGTTTGCGCCTCTCACTAACTCCTCCGAATATTCATCTACTGAAGCTCTAACCAACACTGTGACTGTATTTGGAGTCCAGTCCTTAAGAACTTAAATTAAAGTTAAATGAGGTCATAAGGACAGAGCTTCAACATCATTGGACCAATACTCTTGTAAAAACAGGAGACAACCTGCATAGCAAGAAAGGGTAAAGACACAAGGAGGAGGCAGTAATAGTTTGCAAACTAGGAAGAAAGTACTCCCCAGAACCCAGCCTCACTCAACTTCAAAGTAGCATCTCCTAGCTTGAGGCCTGTGAGAAGATAAAAATCTCTATTGTGTTAAATACCTGGCCTGTGGAATCTGCAATATAAACTCACTATGGTCTGAATGTGAAATATTCGCTCCTGTGTTTGAATACTTGATTCCTAGCTGGTGGTGCTGTTCCAGAAGGTCATAGCAATTTGGGGACGTGGTGCCTAGCTGGCATACATACACCACTCAGGGCAGGCCTTGAAGGTGACAGACACTCTGGTTCTGACTGGAGCTCCCTGAATGCCAAGGGCTGAAGAAGCCTATGCTGTAAGTCTCCACCACCATGACTTCAGCGGCCTACCTCTGCCTTCTCTGTCATGATGGACTGTATCCTCCTAGCAAAATCAATCCTCCTCCCTCCATCGCCTCTGCCAGGTGCCCTGACAGAGTACTCAGAAAGCTGATGTACAACTGAAGCAGTTTTTATAAGATCTAATTGTCTGTTGGGTCTGTTTTGTTTTTTGAAGGTTTTATTGTTGTTGTTTGTTTGTTTTATATTCTAGCTACAATGTTCTAGAATTGGGGTAGTCCTTGAATTTTCAACATAGTCAAATTCTTAGGTAACACACTAGGAAGCCATAGACCATGATTTACTGAGAAAGTACTGGTACAGTCATTCAGTAAAACTATAGAAGTTGCCACATACTTAAGGAGCACACAACATAAAAGTAAGTGTTGTTAAGAAACAAGAATGAAAACATTCACAGGAATTCCTAAAACTGAAGACTCTTCTAAATAAGGGTTTTTTATTATTTTTGTTTTGTTTCTTTCTGTAACTTATTTAATCTTATTTTATGTGCATTGGTGTGAGGTGTCAGATCCCTTGAACTGGAGTTACAGATAGTTGTGAGTTGTCATGTGGGTGCTGGGAATTGATCCCAGGTCTTTTGGAAGAGTGGACAGTGCTCTTAACCACCGAGCCACCTCTCCGCCCCTAAAGAAGAGTTTTGATAAGAACGAAAACACAAAATGAATTACTGTCTCATAGGTTGTTGCCCCATTTGGTTACCCAGGACACATTTACTAGGCCTGGGCTACACACCAAGCTCTAGTCAGACCACTGCAGATCCTGTAGTGAAAGAGCAGATTAGTCCCTTCTTTTACTGTGGCATTTATTTTAGCAAAGGCTTTTAGGCGGGACTGAGAAGTAGGGAGAAAGACTGGTCCAAAAAAGATGAGGGGACCAATTCCTTTGTTCTCCAGCTTAACACTGTGCTAGATCGCGCCTTTCTAAAGTCCAACGGGCAGCAGAAGTGAAGACACGGACGGACATATAGAAGCAGACGACTGAGCAGCACAATAGAGAGCAAGGTCAGGAATGAAAAGGGACCTGTCTGCAAGTACAGCAGAATATCATTAACAGTGTCAGGGTGGGCTCCCTTTCATGCCAGGGGTCTCAAGCTGGACCAGTCACTGATTGGCCATTCCCTCAATTTCTACTCCATCTTTACTCCTGAATATCTTGTAGGCAGGACCAACTGAAGAGTGAAGGCTTTCTGGCTGGATTGGTGTTCCAATCCCTCCACTGGGAATCTTGACTGGCTCTAGGAGATGGCCAGTTTTTGCTCATTATCTCCCCATGGATAGGAGTCTTAGCAAGCGTCACCCTCATAGATTCCTGGGAGTTTCCACTGCCTCGCATAACTGTCATCAGAGAGATTTCACCCAGCAACTGATGGACACAGATGCAAACCCACAGCCAAACATTAGGTATTGCTTGGGGAATCCTGTAGAAGAGGAAAGAAAGGTATTGTAGGAGTGAGGGATCATAGACACCACAAGAAAACCTACACTAAATCAACTAACCTGGCCCCATAGAGACCCACAGAGACTGATCTGCCAACCAGGGAACATGCATGGAATTGACCTAGGCCCCCTGCACATATGTAACAGTTGTGCAATTTGGTCTTTATGTGGGACTCCTAACAGCAGGAGCAGGGGCTGTCTGAATCTGTTGCCTGCCTTTGGATCCTTTTCCCCTAACTGGGCTGTCTATTCTATCCTAAATAAAAGAAAATGTGCCTAGCCTTTCTGTAACTTGATATGCCAAGGCTGGTTGACATCCATGGGAGGGCCCCCTGTTTCTGAGGAGAAAGGGAGGAGTGGATATGAGGTGAGAAGTTGAAAGGGAAGGATCAGGAGGAGAGGAGAGAGGGAAGACTTTGGTCAGATGTAAAGTAAGTAAATTAATAAATTAATTTTTAAAAAGAGAAAGAAAGAAAGAAAGAAAGAAAGAAAGAAAGAAAGAAAGAAAGA